TCAGAAAAAGAAAGGTAAATACTAGATGGTTTCACTTTCAGGTGGAATACAGAGAAACCAAACAAAGGTTTAAATAAAGGAAAAATTAAAATCTAGCCCTTAAAAGCTGAGCACAGAACTGAAGCATTCAGAATAGTAGAAGAGCTGGGGAAGGGGAAAACATAGGAAGGGAGCACAATGAACTGTGGTAATAAAATCTGGGTGATCTGGTGGTGTGCCCTACAATAAGTATACCTGAAGGGGCTATCCCATACTTCCAAGGTTCCAACAATAATATAATTCAATGTCACCACAGTTAATAATTTATAAAAAGAAAAGTAGATCTATCATGGGATAAGCAATTCTACTCATATATTTACTCAGAGCATGCTGAAAAACCAATTCAAAGGGATCTCTGGTTTCATATGCTCATTGCAGCACTAGTTACAAAAGCCAAGTTACGGAAACATCCTCACTGTACAACAGATTAGTGGATAAAGGAGCTGCAGTATACAGGCACAGGGGAATCATATTCACCTGTCAAAAAGATAAAAACCTGCTATATGTGACACATGATGGAACTGGAGTAGATTGTTAACAGTGCAATAAATCAGAAGGAAAAATATAAATACTCGATGACTATACTCATGTTAAATATAAAAAAAAAGAGGAATCTACAAAACTAAACCTAAACAAGAAACCCTAGAAATTTAACTATAGAATTGAGGTTACTTACTAAAAGGAGAAAAAGTCTTTAATAGCAATGGAGGGTGAGAACCAACTGACTGTTGTAAAAGATAACTGGTGTTTTTGTAGTGGGTGTGGCTTTATAGCATACACCTAAGGGGTGTAAATATATTCCCTTAATCATATGCAATCCTGTAAACCAATGTTACCACAATAACAAAAAAATACAATTAAAAATCAGTAAACATTAATCAGAAGTAATAGAGCTGTAGATATCATAGTGTCAGAGTTAATTAACTCTTTACAAATCAAATGACCATTTCTATAGTAGAATGCAACTTAAACACATATTTTCTATAATACACATAACCTAAAAACCTAGAGGCAAAAATAGAAGCTCCTTGGTTTTGCAGACTAGCACAATATTCTATATGCTCACATCTTATCTGTACTATAGCTATAACATTATCCAACTCTCTTGTGCCTAAGAAGACACAATTTGAAAGACAGGAGGTTTGAGTGAAATGATCTCTTAAAATTCTGCATGACTTCAAAAAGTTATGATTTTTATAATGCATAAACTATTTTATATACTAGATGATAATGGTATGAAACAATGTAAAATTTTTTTGAAAAATCACTTTGGAGGGCTCACCAAGCATTAAAACCAATTATAGTATTACTAATTCTTATATTGTTGAGTCTTAAGTGACATATGATTGGTATATTTTCCCAAAAGTTATAATCTAATAAAGTAAAAAGGGATCATAAATAGAAGAAAATCGACATTATCTCCATTGAATGAATATGCTTTAGAAGTAAAATGTGATGGATGTATACTAAAGTAACTCTTTGTATTGATTTAAAATTATCCCATTTCATGGGGGCATGGCTAGCTCAGTCAGTAGTGCATGAGACTCTTAAAATTATCTCATTTCAAGTAGTTGGCTTCACTCATTTTAATCTCTATTTTTAAATAAAATTCTGAAAAACTATTATTTCCACTGTGATCTCCATTATTTATATAGGTTAACATTGCTATTTTTA